AGATTTCCCACCATTGTCACAATGTAGATGATTAAAAACATAACAAATAATGCTTTTTGCCCAGCAGGATCCTGAGTGAAGCCCAGCAGGACAAACTCGGTGACATTGTTGTTCTGGCCCATTTATTCTTCTATCAGGCTTGTTTCAGAGAAAGAGCTCTTAAGAATAGGGCCTACCACAAATTGTGAGTAAGACTGTGAACCCATTCTGGCATGATGCATATGCTGTCTTCTACAGTAGTTAACCAGTACTCGGCATTTAGTAAATATCTATTGAGCTTTCCCTTGAAACAAGCTCCATCACTTTCCGTTACTAAATCTCTAATTACTAAGTTTATCTCAATATTAGTGAATCTCTATACAGAAGTGCAGACAGAGGTATCTCTGTGACCCATACCTATAAAAGTAGTTATTTACTGTACATTACACGTTGCCATTGATATCAAAAACTGAACAGAGAAAAGGTATCTCTTTTAAGAAACTTGAAAAATGATTGTCGCATTAAACTCAAGTATATCAACTAATAAAGAGCATGACTTTGAGCTGGTAATAGCTGTGGGTAATATTTTATAATATGGATTTGGGTAGTGTCCACAAAAACACTGATCCTCAAGGAGCCATGCCAGTACCATTATATTGTACTATTAAGCATGTACAGTAAACCTCACTAGATAATTTTAGGCATCATGTACATATCACTTATTCTAATAAAAAGTAGATTTTGAACTGCACCAAATGCCTCCAATATTATTGAGCACATCATTACCTGCAGCAATTACTTTGTTTGATTCTGACATATTTTAGTACTGTTACATATTTTAGCAGTTACAGTTCCATGTGATGCTTTCTTATACTAATTAGTAACACAATTACATCCACCAGCAGGTTTTTCACATGTATTTTTACTTTACCTGAACTAATCCACTGCTCTTACCATGTCCTCCATCAGCAGAGTTTACTTCTTCCATAGTTCTCAGAAAAAATCTAGGCAGAGACACAGAGTGAAATAGAAACAGAAATGAGCAAGTGAATATTAAGTAAAAACTGAATACTGAGTTATGAATACTGAATGGATTTTATCTTCATACATTCTAGATGCTGCTGGGCCTCACATTGGAATTTGCCTGAATTCCCAAAAGCCAAACACTGAAAGAAAATGCATAGCCAGAATGCAAAGATGTACGTTGTGTTTATTTTCATGCTGCTGTTTGCATTCTGAAAAAAAAGGGGGATTGAAAAATATTCCACAGTATTTCTCAGTCTCACAGTCCCTAATGGTCTACAGCAGTCACTTCTGACCCCCTCCCTTCCTCTTGTGCTGTCATTTTTTTTCCTTTTTGTCACATTTGGACATTTCCAAGTTTATCACTGCTTCTGGAATGATACAAATAATATAAAATGGAATTTACTACCTACTGTGACAAAATAATATCTCTAACTCTGTTTTACATGGTATAGTAAGAAAGAATGTGAGAAATGCTTGTTCAGAAAAAATTCCAGTGATGAAAATTGTGGACACTGAAGCCACACCTGATTATAGTATGAGATTCTTTTAGTTTGTATCATCCTGATCTTGACCATCTTAGTAAGTCTCCCTTTGCCTCTGTTACACCATTTATACCACAGGGACTTCCATAATATCCCTCTCCTAGAGTGGTCTGTTGGTGTTCTTATGAAATGTCTAACCACTTCCCACTCAGTACATCAGACATCTCAGTGGTGGGTATGATTGCTATTCTTGGATGTTTCCCTGTGAGCATCCACTGACAATAAGTCATGAGAATTTCTGTCCATTAACAAGAATATAGACATAGTCTGGGTTAGAACAAACAGCACGTGTGCCTCATGAACCACTTTATGAACTTGGATTGAACTTATGTATCTTATTATCTTGTTTTATTATATATATAAATTCATTTATTATATGTAAAATATTATCAATATTCACCTGTGAAGAAATATATTTGGACTAATACAAGCAAAATTCCATTTGCACGTTCTTGTAATCAAGAAGGCCATGTGCAGAGTCAAAGCATCTGTAGAAGCACCTGGGACACAGTTTACATATGTCTCATTCACATATATGCTTCCATCTGAGTCGGAACATCTATCATTGTCATTCTTGAAGTTCGCCACTGTCATAGGCATGCCTATCACAAAACATAAGAATACTGTATCACTTATGCCCAATTCTGTCTTGCACATTTTACTTCTACACAGTTCAGTGCATTCAATATTGATCAGCATTGGTTTTCACCAGGCTAAACCATTTAGAGCCTAATGTGATTATTCATGTAATAGACAAAAAAAGACTACATAAGCTATACAATACTAGACATATATATAATGCACATTATCAAATGGTCAATTCTATAAACACTAAAAAATAGTATACTGCTTTCATTTTGAGCTACTGTTAACATACTTCTTGAAAAATAATAGTATACTCCATTATTAAGAACATGTCTTTTTTTAAAAAATAGTCTTATATTTTAAAAATACTTTGCTAGCATGAAAATTGTATCTCCCATAAAGAGGAGTGAAGTTATATCACTTCACTTATATCACTTCACTTATATCACTTTGACAAAACACAGATACAAATGAAAATAAGCAAATTAGTCAATTTACCTCAGTATCAGGACAAACGATATTACATTTTCTCTCTCATTTGTGAATTGTAGACTTTCAGTAGATACATAAAAGCATATACTCACAGAAGATATGAGAGTGGAAGGGAAAATATCAGGGAAACTATCCAGTTTTTAATACCATGTACAGTATTATGCAATACCAAACTAACAAACATCTGTGGTAGAAGATGAAGTATCCCTTTATGCTTTTTCATTATTTACATATACTAATATGTTCATTGGGCAATTCTCAGATACACACATGAAATACAACATTAAGCAACTGAAATATAACAGATACTTGATCTTATACACCTTAAACACTTGTGAGGATACAGAATTTTTAATTTCCCTGTTTCAAATATTTAAAGTGATTGTGCATCCTTTTTAACAAAACACAATGTCCCACAAAATAAAAAATAATAAATCACTGTCATTTATAAAGTATAAGATTTTTCACTTCCTATTTGTCCAGATGGAACATAACTGAGCAACAACCCCAAAAGTAGTTTGTGACACTGATAGCAAATGTACTTGTATTTCATGATAAATTTCTCTGTGTAGCATCTTAATTTTCCCAATATACATACTTCCTATGAGAACATATAACTTACAGTGTCAGTTGTATTTCAGTATATCACATGAATCTTTAGCTAGTACTCCTTGTTTGTGGTCTCATGGACTCACAACATGGTTCTTAGTTTTCTTCCAAAAAAATCAAAGGCTCTTTTGCTGGTAGGGCTGCAATTATTTTGTGTACCTATGTGACTTCATGGAACACATTACAAGAAATGAACTTCAATAGATGAGGAAAGAGGACCAAGACACTGTAAAAGACACATTTCCACAAAGTTTCCTATTATCTAAGTCTTTCAGAGAAAAGTAAGAATATCCAAGTTAAATTTAAATGAAAAATATTGAAATTTAATGTCAAAACTTACTCCTAAAGGTAGGTAGATATTGTCACATTCTAAGAAAAATTCTTCATAAAAGTACAAAGATGTATTATTTGTGTGTATATAAGAAGTCCACCTAATAAATAAAAATTGTTAGCACTCTTTATATGATCATGTTAATTAAAAACTCACAGCCCTACAATTAATTTTATAAATTTTTCTCTTTTAGTCAATTGTGCTAAAGGCATCCCAAAGGTCTCGACTTTAATGAAGTACAGCAGCATCCTTGTATCTCACAAATAATCCAGATACTTAACATGACAAATCAGTGGTTTAAACTACAGAAGCATTAATGGTGAAAGTTTCTCATGACTAGAACCAGAAGTCTTCTGTCTCTATCACTCAGATAATCTCCATAAAATCCTTTCCTTTCTTGTTAAAAAACATTGCCCTGTATGTAGAAGACTCCAGGAAATTGAGACTATCCACAGACTGTCATAACGATGAATAAAGCATAAGAATAGAATACATCAAGGGTTAAATACTAGAGGCTACCTGGGTCATTTGATCAGGAAAAACATTTCTTTCATTTATATTCACAATACTGTCTAAGACTTTTGCACCATTATTTAAGTAGATAAGCTAGTTAAAATATTTGGAACAAGTTCAAACAGACTCATCTCTTTTGAACAGACTTCTTTTCAATAATCCCCAGAGGTAAAATCCTTGAATCTTGCCAAGAATGAGTAGGTAACAGCCAAGCTGATTTGAAAAATCTATAATAAGAAAACAAATGTCTAGGGTTTTTTTGGACCAAGTGACTATGAGCTGATGTTGAAGTATGAAATATTTACATATTGTGGGTAACATTTAAAACACCCTTGAGGAGGAAGCAACCTCAGTCCCCATTCCCAACATCACCCAGCAAACTATAGTTTTGTACTTAATGGTCAGAAAGACTTTGCATATCTACTTTGAGCTGCAGAGTTGGATCTGTTGTTTGTGCAGTTGGTACTTATGATCTAATTTTGGGAGACAAATGGTTGTGTTATTTGGTAGGTATAAAAACTTTTGATGGAGGCCTTAATTTATGTGAGATAGGACTATAATGAATTTCAATGTATTCATTCAAGTCTATAATTACTTATTAATAATTAATTGAGTTACTTTACTAGAAATTATTTTTCAAAAAAGTAACAATAATTAAGAACTTCCTGTTATTGAGCTTGTTATTTGGTCATTGG